CCAGCCCTGGGCTGGGGCATGCCTCCCACCCAGCGCCCCAAACCCCAGCGAGAGGAGACGCTGTCCCCGGAGCCCAGCGGCCACTGGCCCTCAGGCGCGAAGGGATGCGGGGGTGGATGGGCTGACTTCCTTACCGAGCACCCCAAATCCTCCACCAACTTTGGCCTGAGAGGCAAGAAATTGTCTGGGAGAAAGTTAGGGGTGGGGTAGAGGGTGGAGGAAAAAAGTTTAAGGAGGGAAGGCTTGGTGGGATAACTTCCCCCCCACCGACCTGCGCCTGGAAGGGATGGATCTGGGAGGTGGCGAACGCGCGCGAGAGGATGGGGCAATTCGCCGGGCAGAGAGGGGCACCCCAGCCAACTTCCCCAGCGCGTAGGGGGTGGCGTCCTGGGGACCCGGGGGCAAGGAGGGCGGCGCACAGCTCGCGGCGACCGGCACCCCGGCACCCCGGCCGGGCAGCCGCGAAGCGGAGCATTTTTCTCTTACCTGCCGCCCGCTTGGGTGCCTGCTGTTTCCTCCTTGGCATCGCTTGACTTCGCTCGAGTCCCACTTCTGGCGCCCCAGCCCCGAGCCGCGCGCGGGGGGCCCGCTGTCTCTCTCGCCTCTCTGGGTCTCCTCCGCCTCCTGCTCGGTGGCTCCTAGGGCGTCACTCGGCCTCTGCCCCCCTGCCGATCCCCCCTGCAACTCCTCCACCACGGGCCAGAGACCCCCCTCTCTGGGTGGCAGACACGGGTGGCTTGTGCCGGCTGGTTGGAAGGAGAGGTTGGTTCTGCCTGGTTTGTTTGTTTGTTTGTTTTGGATTTTTTTTTTCCTTTCTCTCTCTCTTTTTGTTTTTGCTTTTTGGAATTTTTTTGGTTTTTTTTTTTTTTTTGGTGACTGTTGAGACACTTGATTTCTTTATTAAACATCCAAGACCGGGTTCGGATGGCAGGGACGAGGGGCGCACGCACCGCACCACACGCACGCGCGCTGAGATTAGGGGGACAGCGATCCCGCGAAGGCAGTGGTTTCTTCTTCTTCTTCTTCTTCTTCCTTCTCTTTCCCTCCTCCTCCTCCTCCTCCTCCACCTCCTCCACCACCTCCTCCACCTCCTCCTTCTGCTCTTCCTCCTCCTCCTCCACCTCCTCTTCCTCCTCCTCCTCGCCGGTCTCTATGGCGGACTCGCGCTGGGGGAGAGAGATCACTCACTGTAGGTTTGTGGCTGCTGTCAGATCCCGTCTGTGAGTGATATGCAAGAGGACAGGCGCGGGTTTGGGAAAGACAGAAAATCTGGAATTCACTCACTCACACACACACACACACACACACACTCACACTCACACAGACACACTCACACACCACTCTCGCTTCCTCTCACACACGCACACCCCCACATATGCACACACACACACTCTCACACACACACAAGACAGGGCGAGGCGATGCCAGCAAACATCGATCCCGCTGAACAAACTGAACATTAACAAACTCCTCCTCCTCCTCCTCTCCCCGCGACCTGATGACAGGGAGAAATTTACTCCCCAGCCGCAGCGCCAGGCAGAGGGAGTCTATTAAAGGGACAGCGTCCCGCCGGGGGAGAGGGGCTGGGGGCGGGGCGCCCGGCCGCCGCGGGGTGCCGGGGAGCCCACCGCGCGCGGGGACGCCCCCGGGGGGAGGGGAGAGCGGGAAGGACGCGGGCGCAGAGGGCGCTGAGCGGTGGGCCAACTCCGCCACTGGGCAGGGCCCGAGGCGGGGGCGCGGCTGACCTGCAGACATCCTTAGCCTGGGGGTCGGGCGTGAGAACTCGGGCTCCACTGGGCCAGGAAGGCGCCCCACCCCTGTAAGGTGACCGCAGGGATGACCCTCCCCCACCTTAAATCCCACCCCCCCCACCTCTGGCTAATAGTGGGTGGGCATTGGGGGAGCTGCTCCGGCTGGTCTGCCGCCTGATAGCTTCATCATATAGTCTCCTTTTGTTTTGCTTAGGTGGGTGATGCTTATTAAGCACCTATTATGTGCCTGGCTGGTCACATAGCAGCTCCAGAGAAAAGGAAGATGCAGGTCCTCTTCCTGCTTTATTCTAATGGGGGGCAGGCAAGTTGCCCCCCCAGACATCCAGCATCCAGTCTTTGACTAAATGTCACCTTTTCCCAGAGGGCTGCCTTAGTTAAGACCTCACCTGCACACACAATGCACACACATGCACACACGCACACACATGCTCACACACACACACATGCTCACACACACACATGCTCACATATACACACGCAGACACATGCTCACACTCCCCATCCCTTACTTTTCTCCCCTGAGCTTATCAGTGTCACGCATGTGATAAACAGGTTTCTATTGATTATTATTATTAACCAAACCCCCTATCCAGAATATGATGGAAAGAGGGGCTTTGCTTCTTTTCTTCTCTCTTACATCCCGAATGATGGCAGAGGACAAGCCGCGTAGTAGGTGCCCAATAAAATCTACCCAGTGAGTGAAAAGTAACCAGACAAACTAATGCGATCATTTCAGAGGGAAAAACTCCACCGAGATGGTAAAGTGAGGCTCTGTGAAGGCGGCTGCAAGGGGCTGCCGGAGTTCATGGCGGGACCCCAGAGTCCTGCAAGCCGCCGTGGGACAGCTCAGCTCAGCTCAAGGCCAAGACGTGGGCCTGCAGCCCTGAAGGAGCCTGTTCCCCTGCAGGGAGTCCCAGTGGCCCTGCTGGGGCCATAGCGGGAGGGCTCAGAGGGGCAGAGAGCCTGGAGGGCAGGAAGGGAGGAGTGAGAGCAGGCAGGGCTTCCTGGGCAGTGTCACGCCAAAGCTGGCCCCACGTGGAGAAGGAGCTGTGCAAAAAGGGAACTATGGTGGGGCCGAGGCCCTGGAGGCTCTGGGGGCCCTGAGGGCCCTGGAGGCCCTGGAGGCCCTGGAGGCCCTGGAGGCAAGGGCCAGGTAAGCGCTTCCGCTTCCTGCATCAGCCCCCTCTGGCCAGCTCCCTTGTCTGCCCTGGGCCTTCCCTGGAGGACCGTCCAAGCCCAGCACGGAGGGCCTTCTGGACCATCACCCTTTGCTGTCCTGTGGGAGCAGGACCTCGGCTCACCTCCGTGGCCCATCCCCCGAATGGCCTCCACTCTTCTGTGGACCCTGGGGGGGGGGGCGGGCAAAATCACCCCTGGTTTAGGACCACTGCTGAGACTCATCAGAAATTTCTGGATGAGTTCTCAGGACAATGCATTTGGAGCAAGCCATCCGGCCCCCAACGCAGCCCCTGTACCCGACCCTTTGAGAACTTCTGACAGGCTTCCTTTCCTGGATTCCGTTGGAATCAGACTCACCAAAGCTTGCCATTAAGCCGCTCCGCTTAGATATTAAGGTCCCGGGGGCCCCTCCCACTGCCCCTCCATGCACCCACCCAGCACCGCTGAGGCTGGATCCCTGTGCTCCCCCAGGCCTCCCACTTGCCTCCTCCGCCCTCACCTGGGGATTTCCCCAGGTGACACTTTGACAAATATTTTTCTTAGCCACTCTCTTGGACTTCACTTTCCCCATTCTCCTGTCAGTCAGACAAGTTATTGTCAGGGTTGCAGAGTGCTGTTTAATCACAGACTCTGGGAGGCAAAGGAGCTATTGTCCTCTTCACCAATGTGGAGTCCCCAAAATCACCCCGGCGGCCTCGCCCAGGCCCAGTCTAGGCCTTAAGCAACTGACGCAGAGAAAACCTCATCTCTGCTGGCAAGGCCATGAGACAGTGTCCACTCTGGTTAATTCTAATTGCCCAGTTCACCTTTAGGGTGCATTGTGCTGGGGACCTTAGCTGGGTAAAGTCTTATAGTCAAGGAGTGGGACCAAGAGGTAGGGTCTTGGACAGAAAGAGGAGGAGGGTGGGAAGTGCCCCATGGCTCCCCAGAGCTGGCCTGGGCTGGCACTAATCACCCATTTAACACATTTTCCCTGGGCCAGTCAGTATCACCCAAACACAGGAGATGCTGGGGTACAGGAGATCCCTGACTTCAGGAAGCTTCTGCTAAAGGGTCATCTCAGGTACTGGAGACTCTGAGCAGGGAACTCAGAGCTGGAGCCAGCTTGGAGGGAGAACCAGGGTGACCGGCCAGCGTTGCTGGGTCTGGGCTACAAAATTCCCCCCAGAATCTGTCTTGGATTTTTCAAATTTTCTTCCCTTGCTCTACTCCCTTTTCTTGCTGAGTAGCTGGCTACACATCAGAGGAGGGTTGCTCAGAAGGAAGAGTGGGCTTCGGCCTGTGCTTTTACTGACATATCCGTGGTCCCATGCTTCTGGAGCAGTTTTTCCTTAATTTGTGTTGTTCTTCTGCCATCGCTGTAGGTGCTTAGTTTGGTTACCAACAAGGACTGTTGGGAGGTCCCAAAGAGGGGCACCACACAATAGTCCCCGGATGTACTCAGTGGTGTAGACATGCCATTGAAAAACTGAAAAGGTCAGGTCACTTTCAATCTGGGCAAGTCTTATGGTAGCGATTTAAAGCTTAAATTCCTCTCATTGCATTTAATATAAAATAAAATAAAAATAAATATTCAAGGAACCACGAGAATAAATACTGGTTCCAGTGGGATGCGGAGATGATAAAGAGTGAGAAATATGGTATAGGCATCCTGGACTTTGCAAATACTTTGCTACACCACAGACTGAAATTTTTGGAAACTTCACCCAGAATACCGCCATGGTAGGACCTCGGGGAACCTGGGCCCCAGGGTGCCATATTCAGACTTTGGGATGTGCTAAAGGCGTGAGAGGTTCACAACGACTCATTTTCTTTTCCTGGGCATGTATCTATGTATTGCCACCTGGCTTGGTGGTAACGTCTTTGGAGGGTTTCTTTCCCCCTTCCCTTCCTCCGGCCCTCCCTCCCTCCTTTTTTCCCTCCTTCTTTCCCCTTCTCCTTTCTTCCCTTCATCCCTTCTCTTTCATTTTACAGATAAACAAGCACAGGCCCTACCGGTGTTAGCAGACCACAGTTGGAAGATCTGGAATTTAAAGAGCTCCCAGGAGATCCTGATAAGACCCAGCCACGGGAGTCTCCTGGGATGAAAGTTGATCTACAGGTGAATCAAGTTAGTGGCATTTATCATTTGCCAAGAACAGCCCTGGAGTCTATTTGGGGGTTCACTCACAAGGGTGCACCCCAGAAGACATCTGTGAATACCTTCTTTATGTATTTGCCTATTTAACGTCTCCCCTATAAAATGCAAATTCTATCACCTCTATACAGCCCAAGCCAACAAAGCAATAGCTCATAGTCAGAATCCATGGAATGACCGACTATCAAGCTGAGCGTGCTTGTAAGGCAAGGTGGCTTCAATCATCTCTTAGACCCACCAAAAGTCTTCCATTCACCATGGGATACAGCTGTTCAGCCCCTGTGCCTCTTGCTGTGGTGCTGGCCAACCTGCCCCAGCATCTGACCCTTCCTCCCATTCCTCTCTCTGGTCTATTGCCTCCTTCAGAGCCTCCCTTAAATACTGCTTCTTTCAGGAAGTCTTCCAGGATGGATCCCACATGACTCAACTTTCTCTACTCTATGTCATCTCAAAACAAAAGACTGAATGGACAGTGTGATCCCAAAGAAATGCATTTACAGCAGGTGGAACTAATTGCTGCTTAAATAGGAAGGGCAGTGGGTGACCTTGAAAGTGGGAGACTTCTGGGGGTTGTGGTTCTTAGCTGGGTGCTAGTAACTCCAGTGTATTCAGTTGGTGAAAATTAATTCAGCTGCACGCTGACTGTTTGTGCAATTCTGTGAATATACATAGCGCTTCCATTAAAAAGAGCAGTTTTCTCAAATTTTGCTGCATTTCATAATCAACTGGGGTGATTTAAAAACTCCCAGTGCCCGGGTCTTACCCAGACTCATTACCTCGGTCTGCGGGGGTGGGATCCAGCCAGCAATACTTTTTAAAGCCCCCAGATGATTCCAATATGCAGCCAAGTTTGAGAGCCAGTGTACCATACGATTTTGCCCTTGAGGATATAATTCATTGCCTTCCTCTTATGGCATTTAACTCGTTCGTGATATCTCTCATCCCAGTAACTATTTTTTTTAATAAAC